GGAGTCCTCCACTCCGGGAATTTCACTATAAAACTATAGTTCTCCTTTTTCCCCCTCGGCAAGGCGGAGAAGCCCTCACGAGACTCACTTTCACCAACCCGGCGTGGCGGAGTGCCAAACGCTTTTCTCACCCTTCTGGCGACGGCAACGTACCTTCTCGTTTTTCTTCCTCCTGGAGAAGGCAGAGAACCTTAGAGAATACGGACGTAGAAGAGTCTCCCCCTCAGATAGCCTACCATAAGATCTTCACGGGCCACAAGAGGAATAAAGTGCAACAAGAACGAAGCAACCGTGTGATCTCCCTCACCAAGTTCACCCTCTTCTTCCTCTTTCAAACCCTAAATATTCTCAAGAGCTCTCTCGTAAGGATTCCATCTCTACTCACGTTCCTCTCTCTTAGTCACACATTAAAAACATTATTTTTTGATACTTAAAACGGGCTACAAAAACCCTGAAAATTTTCAAATTAGCCTTTACTATCGTACATTACGATTCCACATTGTACAGTACGATTAGTATAAATGAGTTTCGTCCTGGTACGAGGGAACAGTTAAAAATATAATCGTACAGTATGATATAAACTCGTACCGTACGATCCTCATCTCTTCTGTTCGTACAGGACGATAGCTGGGACGATCAAAACTCGTCTCTGTACATCGTAGGGTACGACCTACTTTGTTCAGTACGTATAGTCAAATTCAAGGGATCGTCCAGGACGAAGTCCGAGATGATCAAAACTCGTCTTTGTACATCGTAGGGTACGATACACTTTGTACAGTACGATTAGGCAAAAATCAAGGGATCGTCCAGGACGAACTCCGGGACGATCAAAAACAGTCTCGGTTCATCGTATTGTACGAACGGGTTCATACAGTATGATGACCAATCAGAGATTAATCTTTGATTTATTCCACTAATCACAGGTTAATTTAAGTATTCAAAATAAATCGTACAGTATGAATCGCTTCGTACAGTACGAACGACTGATAAAACTTACTTAAACTAATCCGGCGGCTAGGGTTTTGGATTTGTAACACATCGTACAGTACGATACGAATCGTACAGTACGACCTGTTCACAGAAAGACGTTCTAACTAGATCAGATCATACAGTACGACATAAATTCGTACAGTACAATCAACAGAGAAAAAAATCTATATTTTTCTTTTAAAACCCTCTCCCCCTGTTTGTGTGCATGGTTGCTCAGATTTACATACAGTTTGTGGCCAGACTCAAGAAAAGAGAAAACAAAATAAATGGAAAATTACAATGTACAAACTCACACTCCTACTCTACCCAGCCTTGAGTCTTCTTGTTGTCATGAGTAACTTGTGATTTTTCTGAAATGTTAGTACTCATAGACAATGACAGAAATCAAAGATATTCAATGAATAGTAGTTCAGACAATATTATTTGTCATCATCAAAATCTCAAACTCAGGGTCATGGATTGCAACACTCACTCTATGTCAAGCTTGAGGGTTTCGTTGGAGCAATCAGTTAAATCGATTGCTCGCAGGTAGCAGGTACACGACTGAGCTTGATTGCCTTTCACCGTGACTTCCTTTCCCTTGGCTGGAAATTTAACTACTATGTATTATGTGGATACCGTGGCTGTGAAGGTATTTAGTAGTGGCCTGTCAAATATGGTGTTGTAGGTAGCTGGGGCATTTCCCATGACATAGTATGCCATGGCAGTGTACTGATGGTTTCCTTCGCCCCGTGTGACAAGTAGGGAAATTATTCCTTTAATCTCCCTACACTCTCCTGAGAATTTGTAAAAAGGTCCTGTTGTAGGAACAAGCTGAGAGGTGAGCATATTCATCTCGTCGAAGACTGCCTTAATGATTAACTCCCCGTATCTATCAAAATGTTATCGATCAGGGCTATAACAAGAATGGCTTCATTATGGTGTGTCGTCAGTAGATCGTGAGTACGATTCTGCATTGATTTCTCCAATGCATGGCTTCTTCGCATGTGTAGGAACATCTCTTCGATTGCCTCCCATGATTGTGGGTACTACCCCTACAAATTTGATTTATCGAGCCGACCTATGCTTGTTGTTGTTATTTTTTATTAAAGCTTTTCTTGGCCTTTGCTCTGGATTTGTGAGGACGAATTCTTTATGCTTGCTTCATTTGATGAATTCTTCGATCATATTGTGTAGGTGATGATACTCAGTTTCACACCCATAATTCTTGTGGAATGCGCAGTATCTTGGCATATCTCCGAAGCTGTTGATCTTTATAGGTGACAGTCGTATGAAGAATTCCTTATTTTAGATGGCCTCAATAAGCTCGGCTATGGATACCCTCAGCGAAGTATAATTTGGATATTCTTGAGGTTGGTGAGCAACCTCTCTATGCACATCTTCGATTCTTGGTGTTAGTGGTGTTTTTGTTTTTGAAAATCTTGGACGAGCAGGTTCCTCGTATGGATTATGACACCCCCGATTACGGTGGAAGCTTGATCCTTGGTTCTTTCTCTCTTGGGAACTAGTCCTTTCTCTACTTTTCCCTAGGGAGAGGTTTTTACTTATGGCGATATCATGGTGTAGGGCGGTTGTGGAAGATTCGGTTACTTGGTTGTACTCAATATTTACATGATTGTTGGTGAGTTCTAATAGTTCTAGCAGCATCTTCGACTGCTGCAGGCCTAGTTCATACCAAAAGGGACCTTATCTCAACCCTTGGGTCAGGGCTATTTGGGCGACTATCGGTTCAAGGCCTTTTATGTCGAGCATTTCTTTATGGAACTTCAATATGAAGCTTCTTAGCGACTCATTAGGTTCTTGTTTCTTTTTTAGCAAAACTTGCGAACTTTTGGGGGGTCTCTGGTTACTGACGAATTGTACGATAAACATCCCTTGAATTTGGTGAAGGATGTGATCACTTCACTAGGTAAATGAGTGAACCACCTTAACGCCGAGTCTTTTATAGTAGTAAAGAAGAGCGATGCTGGGGGTGTCGTCGATGTCAATGAGAGAAGTCATAGACTCGAAAGTCACCATGTGATTCGTAGGATCAATTTTTCTTCGGTAGGCTTCAACGTGAGGTACATTGAACTTGGGAAGTACTCTTTCTTTAGAGATGGATCTGTATAAGGCATTAGTCGGCCCTGGTTCAATTTCTTGGTTCATTCGAAAATTGGACTAGAGTTCTCATCTCTCGCCTAGGGCGAGCAAGGTTGGTAACTGGAACTGAAACATACGCTTCTTTCGATGGCTCATGATGTGCATCGAGACTGGCTAGCTCTTCGAGCGCGTTGACTGTTCGTAGTAGGTGGCTAGCAGAAGCAAGAGCACCTAAATGGAATTTAGGAGTTGTTCTTCCATTTCTTGCAGTTCGCGGCAAGTGGTGTACTCAGGATTCACAGTATTCTCCGAGGTTTCAAGTTGCTCAGTTGTTAGCAATTTTTTTGCTCAGTAGATAGCATATTTTTGCCTCACTTAATCCAAGGGGATGTTTAATCCTGTTATGTTCGGTGGATTATATCGGGCTATACTTCGTGCTACCTATTAACTGAGAGACTGTGAAGAGAAGGTAATAAAGTCTAAATACGCAGAAAAAGAGAGAAGATGAGAGTGTAGATCTAGACAAAATCTTTATAATATAAGCCAGAGATATAAGAGTAATGAAAGTTGGAGCTCTAGACTGTAGAGTTTAAGCTAAGAAAGAGAAAAATGACACAATATCTCTCTTTTCTTATGGACTTTATTGTGGGTTTGATTATGTATTCTCTTGTGTGCCAGCCCCCTCTCTTCCTCCTTTTGCTGTTTATTGCTTCTTCCCATTTTAATAGGGTTTAGAAAGATACATGGAGTATGTCTTGGGTATTGTAATTGTCCCATTAGTCTTTGTTGTAGTTTGGCCATTAGTGTAAAGTGGAATGGCGATTGAGAAGGGTGTCGAGTGAGCTTATGGAAACCCATTGATGTTGGCTGGAAGCTGGTATGGAATCGCCTCATTGAGATGAGAAGGGGCTAGGATCGTCGAAATGTGGTCATGAGAACAGGCTAGCATTGAGCGAAAAGCCGATTTGGGGTCGCCCCATTGAGGTGGAAAGGGGCGAGTAGTGTTTTGATGGGGCCTTCGGATCCACCCAGTTTTGAGAGATGTTTTTAGAGGCGATATGTGTTGTTAGCAGAGGTAACTGGTGTTGGTCCACCATGCTCCAATCTTAAGCTCATTCTCAGCTCTTGAGCGAGTCCCTTGAATGACTCCAAGAGAGGAGTGGATCCTCCTTTCGCTCGACCCTAAATTTACCTGTAAGATACCTATGAACTGGTACCTGCATCGGTAGTCATGAGTGTACACAATGAATGAGTATTATTGGCTGAGTTTATAACAATCGACTCTTGGCCAAGTTTCTTTAGTTAAAAAAATATGGGACTTCTGACTAAGCTCAATGCTTGGCTATCAAGGATTGGATTGAGCCTACTACTTAGGCGACTTTTCACTGAGATGGTATTTTAAGTGCTATTGTGGTCTTTTACATTCCTTACTGGTTCGAAGAAGTATTTTATACAGTAGAAAGTATTATATGCACATGAAAAGTGGGCGTACTTGTAGTTTTTCTTAGGATGAGAGTTAGCCAAATGTATGCTATGATTTATATAACTTCTTAATGAGGGTCCTCTTCAGTTCAGATACTATTTAAATAGGTGACTTTATACATTTTGTATCTTCGGATCGCTATTGTGGCAAGAGAGTGAAATTAGCTTTTTAGAAAGAGCAAGCCACAAATAGAAGTAATAAATAAAAAAAAAAAACATTTCAGAGATATCGTTGTATCACCATAATTGATTGTACAGACTAATTTCTTACCTTCATAGGCAATATTTTCTTCTAATCTTTATGGTTGGTGTGCCAATGAATCTGGTCTTATTTCTTGTTATGCAAATAGCGCTTTGAAGAATTAAGTTATCTGTTATCAACGACGTGTCTTGATATATTTGTTATATTTTATTTCTGAAAAAGAGATGTTTGTTGTATACTTCAGTGTGCACATGTCATGGCCATGGCTGTCCAGAAACTCTTCCCAAATTCGAAGGTTACAATTGGTCCTTGGATTGATAATGGATTCTATTATGACTTTGACATGGAGCCTTTAACAGATAGGGATTTGAAGAGAATAAAAAAGGAAATGGTAAGAATGTTGTGAATCATGGTTTGAAGGTCACTTTATTTTTTAATTGGGAGTGTATTCATTTTCTTATCATTTCAGGGCACGGAATTTATTTCTTGCATCATCTGTAGGATCGGATCATTAAACGCAATCTACCTTTACTGAAAGAAGAGGTTTCCAGAGAAGAAGCTCAAAACAGAATATCTGCGATCAATGAGCCTTACAAATTGGAGATTTTGGAAAGCATCAAGCAAGATTCTATAACTATTTATCATATAGGTTTGATATGCTATTTTGTCTATGTTTTTGTGCATTTTTTTATTTATCAATCAAATATTTGCACAATATGATCGACTACAAACAGGAAATGAGTGGTGGGACCTTTGTGCTGGACCCCATGTCGACTCTACTGGGTATATTAACGCAAAGGCTGTTGAACTTGAATCTGTTGCTGGGGCTTACTGGAGAGGAGATGAAAGAAGGCAAATGCTGCAAAGGATATATGGCACAGCATGGGAGACTGAGGAGCAACTGAAAGCTTACCTGAAATTTAAAGAGGAAGCAAAGCGCCGTGATCATAGACGTTTGGGCCAGGATCTTGATTTATTTTCTATTCAGGTCCTCTTAATCATAACATTTGCATAATATTTGTTTCCTAGTCAACTAGACTGATGTTTTTTAATGTATTATTGCTACAAATATTTTGCTCTTCTTCACACGCCTGGGTTGTAAAGTTCCAGTATTGTGTAAGCTTGACTAATAATTTATTAAAGTGACTTAAAAGATCATAAACTGTCACTGAATGCTGAACTTGGGAGTCGTTACATTGTGATTAACTTACATATCATTTCTTTTTAATAATCTAAAAGGTTTGTTTTTGTATGTAATTTGCATCTTAATACTGATAATTTAAAGCTAACTTCAATTTTTGTGTGAAATTTTAAACCTTAAGTTAAGTTCTTCAGTATGTGTGTAACCTGCCAAAATAAGTTTTTTGTTTGTTGGATTTTTTTCTGGTTTAATGGTTTAGTACCTCTTGAAAAGCTTACTTAATGGTCATTTGATGGGTTTTTATGATTATATGCTTACAAAGAGTAGGTTTTTCTTTTAGTAAATTGTTTTTTCTATCAATTGGCTTAGCTTCCTTATATGACCTCTTTTTTAATTATGTTTTTGAGTCAGGCAACTGCTGAAAATTTTAAAATTTCTGTAACCTTTGACTAGCACTATCTGATCCTTTGGTTTCAATCAATTATCATGACAACTCATGAACCTTTTATAGGAAGATGCTGGTGGTGGCCTTGTGTTTTGGCATCCTAAAGGTGCCATAGTTAGGCACATCATTGAAGATTCATGGAAGAAAATTCATTTACATCATGGTTATGAACTTCTATATACTCCTCACGTTGCAAAGGCAGATCTCTGGAGAGTTAGTGGGCACCTGGACTTCTATAAGGAAAATATGTATGATCAGATGAATATTGAGGATGAACTCTATCAGCTTCGGCCCATGAATTGTCCTTACCACATTTTAGTTTATAAGCATAAGCTACATTCATATAGGGATTTTCCAATCAGAGTGGCAGAATTGGGAACAGTATATCGTTATGAGCTCTCTGGTAGCCTGCATGGCCTGTTTCGTGTCAGAGGGTTTACGCAGGTATGCCTTTTTCATGATTTCTATTGTAAGAAGATCTAATGTAGGACAAATATGAATTATTTTTCTCATAGTAATTTAATTGAATTATCATTATATCTTTTTTATTGATTTATATTTAGTATTTATTAACCTCTATTGTAATTTTCATGTGAAATATGATCATTTGCTCGTTTGGGATAAATTTGATTATGTTGTTTTGTCTTGTAGGATACTTTATTATAAATAGTGGTTCAAAGATCATATAATAAGTAGCTACCAGATTATTATTATATAAGTGAATTTTATGCTTTGCATGGCTTCTACCCTTTAAAACTTTGTGCCATGTTTCTCCCCACTTGTTTTACACGCCTTCCTATAGACAGTTTCTGTATTGGCATTTGCAATAAAATCAAGTGCGTCTGATGCTGAATATGATACAAGAGCTTAACAAATATTTTGTCTGGATGATGCAGGATGATGCACATATATTTTGTCTGGATGACCAAATCAAAGATGAAATCAGGGGTGTCCTTGATTTGACACAAGAGATCTTGCTGCAATTTGGTTTTAGAAAATATGAAATAAACCTTTCAACTAGGCCAGAGAAGTTTGTTGGCAGTGATGATATATGGGAAAAAGCAACTATTGCACTGAGAGAAGCTTTGAGCGATAAAGGTTGGGACTACCAAGTTGATGAAGGTGGTGGCGCATTTTATGGTCCGAAGATTGATCTCAAAATTGAAGATGCACTTGGGAGGAAATGGCAATGTTCCACTGTCCAGGTTAGTCATTCAACATTTTCTTCCTGTTATTTCTCGGACATAATCTTACTAATCAAAGCTTGTTCTCGTTAATTATTATTTGATAATAGAAAAAAATTTCTGAGAAGCTTGTTTGTGCTACTGCTGCAGGTTGATTTCAACTTGCCTCAGCGCTTTGACATAACTTATGTAGATTCAAATGCTGAGAAAAGACGTCCTATATTGATCCATAGAGCCATTCTAGGGTCTTTGGAGCGATTCTTTGGCGTCCTTATTGAACATTATGCTGGTGATTTCCCACTCTGGATCTCTCCTATTCAAGCCCGTCTTTTGCCTGTCACTGATTCTGAGGTATGGTCCGAGTATCATTTGGTTTCTATCTTTTTCACTAATTAAAGATCTTGCCCAGGAAATTTTCTGTGTAGATTCTGGACTTTTGATTTATGTTATTGAAATGCTTTATCTAAACCTAAATTTTTGAGGAATGCAGCCCTTCCTAGGAAAGAATGGGTTTTAAGAAGGGTGCAATCGATCAAAACAAGTAATTTGAGACAAAGCTGTTAATGACCATGATTAGTTGTTAATCTCGTTTTCTTGAGTAAATATTTTTCTATTTTGGTCCAAATTCGTTTACTAGAAAAAAGGAACTAATATTTTTTTTAGATTTTTCAAGAGGAAATCTTATGCACCATTTTCTGCCCTGGAAGCATGTCATTTATAACTCATTTAGTATCTGTGGCTTTGGCATGGATTTGATAAGCACATAGGTTGATTTTCTGTATTATTTTCTTCGTAGCAGAATGTAACATTCAGAAACGACTCAGTATGAAAATGTTTTGTTTGTATAAATAATTCAGGTGAACTACTGCAAGAAGGTAGTTTCCGATTTGAAATCTGCCGGCATTCGTGCCGAGCTTTCGCATGGTGAACGCCTACCTAAGCTCATAAGAAATGCAGAAAAGCAGAAGATTCCTCTGATGGCAGTAGTTGGACCTAAGGAAGTTGAAAGCCAGACTGTAACTGTGAGGTCGCGTTATAGTGGTGAGCTTGGAACTATGACTGTTGATGAGTTCATCGCTAGAGTCAGGTCTGCTGTTGAGAGGAAGACTTGCTGGTAGTGAACTCTAGTGCAGCTTACAGAGATCCTGAAGATAATGAGTTCATAAACACAAAGTGTACATGTCCGGCTGAAAAATATCGAAAGGTGGTGGTGAACTCTGCCCTCCTTTGTTCTTTAGGTTCTTAATTTGTTCCCTATGTTTATAATTATATTTTCATTTCTTTGTTCAGTCCGAATATATATGAATACTGTTACATTTTCATTGATGGCACTTATATAAACACTTGTTATTCACAAAGAAAAGTTCAATGTGCCTTATCAATTGCAATTTTCTTTCTTCACTTGCTTATCATTGTTATATATGGATCCTTCTGAGGATTACTAAACATGCAAGCTCATTTTGATCTGTTGGTGGAGAGTTTTGACTACCAATCAAGAAGTTTTGAATTCAAATTTTACATATATGATGTGTGTGAATTTGCTTCAATGAACAGAGCTGTCAACTAAACCTAGAAAGAAATAATAAAGATATAAATCTGACTCCAAATTGCTTGGATCCAGTTACTAATGATGATATTTACTAAATGTAGCTAGGGTTACAGAAGAATACAAAACCAGAACGCTAATGAAGATTCTCTCTTTCCTTCCAGAATGAAATTGTTGCCTTAGTGAAGAATATTATAGCCATCTATCTTACTGAGGAAGCTCGATCTTTTATCACTGAATGAAATTGGCACCACGGGTTTGCTGAAGTCCTGTTTGGATTTTGTTTTCTTTCTTTATTTTTTTTTTCCACCAAAACCATGCTCTTAAGTAAAGCAAAAATATTTTTTTTAAAAAAAAGGTAAAGCAAAAATATATTATTTTATATTTGGAAACATAATGGATTGTTTTTTGAAATTGTTAAAAGCATCTGATTCACATATTTTGGAAACATGTCTTAAGTGCAAGTTTGGATTAACAAAACTAATTATGTTGATTAAATTTTAGTAAGATTAATTATTGTTGTAATTATGATCACTAAGACATTATAAATGTCTATTGCATGTATAGGATAATTAACAAATTTAATTTTTAATTAAGAATGAATTCTTATTAATTTTCAATTAAAGTTGATTAGATATTAAGTGGTGATAATTAAAATTTTTATTATTTAATAATAATAATTAACTTTAATAAATTTAAGCAATCAATCAATTGTTTAAAAAAGTAATTATTAATTAATTTTTTAATGATACTGTTAGGGATTAATTATATTTTAGTTAATATTATAAATATTTAATTACTGTTAAATATGATAACTGAGCATAAGATAACTAATTAGTAAATTAATTTGCTAGAGGAATTGTAATTAATAAATTTTTTAGGCAACTTAAGGATTAAATAGGACATAAATTAAATTATCAATGTTTTTTTTATATTTTACTGTACTTGTGAAAGTTTAAATTAATTATTAAAATTATTCATAAATTTATTATGGTTAAATTATGATCCTTATATATATATATATATAAAAAAGAGAACAACACATAAATCAAAGTCAATTATCTATGATGGCATACACCATTCTAACAAAATAAAATTAAAGTGCTGAAGGCCAATTGGATGAAAAAGCCAGAAAAAGGATATCAAATTGGCAACCCACTGGCAAATGAGATGTCATAATGGGCAAGATTTTCCATTAAATAATATCCTCAAATTAATTTTATTGATAAAAATTATACCCACATATTAATTATAAGTTCAATTCCAAATCAATTATTATGTTATATCATGCTTTAGAACCACACCAACAAGCCATAAATGCAATAAAAACAAAGCCGCCAATTAGAAGAAGATACAAAGAATCAAGTGGGTGGAATAGTGACCATTTATTATCACAAAACGGACCCCATGCATGAAAGCTATGGCTTAAGAGCATCTTCAGAAAATTCTATTTTCGACTTCAAAATACATCAATAATCATATTTTATGATTTTTTTGAGGCTGTTCAGATCTTATGCATCACTCTTATAAAAGCAAGCAATCCCCTTCTCGCACTATCTTCATCAGAGTACTGGCAGAATCCCAGAAGAAAGAGAAGAAGCAGAAACAGAAGCCAGACTCAGTTGCCTCCAACGATGCAGCGGCTCCTCACAGCACCCAGGCGAATTCTACGGCTTCGAAGGGGTACTGGCAAGAGTTCTCGTGTAGCTGACGAGAGCTCGGTTAACGGCAATAGAGAATTTGATGGATACAACCATAGGGAAGGTGAAGCTTGGCGTGGCGCTCCAGTGTCAGTTTTGGTGGCTGTCTTGAGGATACCTCTTATCGCTGTTTCTTGCCTCTGTCAGGCTGGTGGTGATGAGTTGCGAGTCTCCACTGAGCTGCCGATGTCAGCTGGCGAGATTAACCATCTCATGGTTTATGACAGCCGGCCTTATGCAATCTATGTGTAGGATTAAAAGGTGTTAAGATGATTTTGATCCTTTGGTTGTAACAGTGGTGTTAAGATGATTTTGATCGATGATGTAGCAAAGAAGGTATTTAGTTGTGACAAGGGTTTCAAAGAACTGGTTTAGTCTTCATTTGGCTCAACTATTCTCTTCTTGCCATAATTTTTATTCTGCTCTGCAAAATATTAGCTGTTTTGAAGCAAACAGGGGGAAAAGCTGCGAAGATTTCTCTTTTTTTTTTTAATCTAAACAGATTCTTCTATTCTCTTACTGTTTTTCCTACCAAAAATAATTATAATGATAAACCAAAAGAAGTCTTCATGTTGCCAAACAGCCCCTTAGTATGTTTCGGTATGCCTTCATGCCTCAGCATAGCAATTGCTGAGTCTTTCTAGCTATCTGCATCTCTAGTTCAGTTGCCTTGTGAAGATATAGCAGATTTCTGGTTCTTCTTTTTCATTTTCCTAATTATGCCTCCGTTAATCTTTTGTAACTTCTGGTGGTGTGTAGTTTAGTTGCTGCCGTTTACATGAATGTTTTTACCTAAAACTAAGTTAACATGCTATGATTTTGAAACTGGAAAAACTTGGAAAATAAAAGCTGTATTTGTGTACTTCCTTGTCATCAGAATTGTGTGTGGCACTCAAATCATGTGCTATGATATAGGCATATTCTTATCCAGAAAAAGAGAGCATGACAGAAAGGATGAAGCCAATTACTTGCAGTTGAAGCCAATAAGATGAAAAGAATGGAAATAAAATTATCTTGTATAACCCACCTTCCTCCTTGCTTTTCCAAAATATCCCTTCTTCTACTTTTTAAGTTATCAGTTCCTTTCAAGTACTCTTAGTAGAAACTGATTATGGTGGTGCTGAGTAGCTCTCAATGCAGGGCAAATGACAGTGGTGGGTCCAGGCCTCAACTTGATGTATAAAATTTTGATATAAAGTTAGTGGGCGACCATGATTCTTGTAATCACAATGGAAGCCGATTGAGCCAAGTTTGTGGTTTGCTATCATTGGTGACCGAAAGAATGTACCAAGGAAAAGTAGAAGACTTGCTAAATCTCTGAGAGAAATGGAGAGATTCCCACTACAATTTTTTTCGTGGTGATTTCCACCCGACTTAATTAGAAAGCTAAAAGAAAAGGACCGCACAGTCTAAACCATGGATTTTTCTTCTTTTTTCTTTTTAAATTTGTGGCCTAAGGGGTTTCTTGTAAGTTTATTGAACGGCTATTATTTTTCATTTTTTCATTAAATTGAAACTTAAACTTCACCTTTGTGTTCTCTCCACACTTTCTTTTTTGGGACTTTTGACTGAATTTAACCTCAAATTCATACACACCGCACACTCACCGCATATGCAAGGCTTCGAATTCAAGATCTCTTGATTGAAAGCCTAATGTCATGGAACAATCTTTCCCAAGGCCTTAACACTCATTCCTTGTGCTAAATCAGCTGTAAACTCACACAAAGTTTGTCTAGAGAGCAAAGAATGCTAGAGAGAGAGGAACTAAATGCGGAATGCTTCACTATTACAAGATAACTTGTACAATAAGGGTTTGTGGGATTTTGCAGGATTTGAGAGATGTTGGGAGATGATTACAAATGAAGGTCGAGAGTCCAATCTATAGGCTGCTCCCATGCCTAAGAATATTTTAGAGTTACCTCCATTACTCATAAGTGTGAAGTTCTCTATAATACTCCACATTATTCCCTATACTCTTACAAGATTCTATAATAATCTAGAGAGATCTACGGTATCCTAGATTACTCTCCAAATATCTATACTATCCTAGAATAATATCACTCCCAAAAGTTGGACCAAGAGTTTTGGCAAAACCCCATGGGCGTGACATGCCAAATGGAGGCTAAGGAGTCCTCTAGAACCATTACTAAATGGAGTCACACGACATTGGAAGGTTATGAAAGACTCTAGATAGACCAAGAGTTTCCTAGAGTTTTCTAGAGTGCTCTAGAATGTTTTAGGATGGTGTAGATGCTTAGAGAGTATTTTGGGAAACTCTAGAACTCTTTAGAATATTATTGTGGGATCCAAATGTTGAGTCTAGTAAATAGGTTGTTAGACCTAAGTTAATGTCCCAAGGCTACCAAGAGGGGGGGGGCCGAAATGAAAATTTTTCTTTTAAGTTTTTGTATAAAGCGTTTTTCAACCACAGAGTTTTTAAAGCTAAAAATAAAATGCGGAAAAATAAAAACAGTAAAGTAAATGACACCAGATTTATAGTGGTTCGGTCTAAACCAGACCTACATCCACTCCCCAGAGGCACCCTCTGAGTATTGCACTAATAACAATAGTGACTCTCCTTTTGCACCCACAGCAAGGCGGAGAAGCCTTTACAAAACACTCTTTTCACCACTAACCAGTACGACAGAGAACCGTCTGTTGAGTCTAGTAATTAGGTTGTTAAGCCTAA